CTAGGCTAGGCTAGGCTAGGCTAGGCTAGGCTAGGCTAGGCTAGGCTAGGCTAGGCTAGGCTAGGCTAGGCTAGGCTAGGCTAGGCTAGGCTAGGCTAGGCTAGGCTAGGCTAGGAGGCTAACGAGGGTTCTGTAGATATCAACTGATAAGCGCTAAACAATACTCGGCAGAGGGAAGGGATAAGAGTGAGTGTTAAATAGGGAGTGAGTAATATGAAACAGCTGTGTGCAATCAGTGCTGTGTGCAATCAGTGCTGTGTGCAATCAGTGCTGTGTGCAATCAGTGCTGTGTGCAATCAGTGCTGTGTGCAATCAGTGCTGTGTGCAATCAGTGCTGTGTGCAATCAGTGCAATGAATGATGGGATATGTAGTCCGGGGTGATATGCAACAGGGTGTAGTGCGAGAGTCAATGAAAATGGAAAGGGTGACCTCTGATGGCTAGCAGACGGAAGTTCATGGACCGGATTCGTGACAGTCACACAGCATCTGGTTCATTCCTGTTACACCATCACTTTTGAGCTCTGGTAAGCAAAAATAAAAAAAACAGTTATGCCAGTGTTATATCTGTGGAAGTATTTCTATAAAAGGGAATACTCAGCTTTCAGGAACTCAATCACTTTAGTAAGTATAGCTTGATTATGGCAGCAAAATTAACGTGGAAATAAAGAGCTAAATATAGATCAGTGTGGGATTGACAGTCTACTGAAGTTAGCAATATATTTCTGTAATTTGTGTAATTTTATCATACGTATGTGTGTATAAAATCCCTTTATCTGATTTTATGATTAAAGAAAACTAAATAAAGTGATTTCCATCTTCATTTATATTTTATTCAATGAATTAAGACAGATTATTAACATGTACTCAATGCACATATACATTTGCACACATCCTACATATTAGACATTTACCTAGGTTATGTAGGACATTTACTAGACTTACATACGTTAAGACCATTTCAGAAAACAAAATTTGTGCTGTCTCATGCATGCACAGGGGGAGACCAAAAACCTGACAAACAAATGATCACGTATTTGAACTCACACAATGAAGCGCAAGGGCAGCAGGACCTCTGTTAGATCACAGTGACTGGAGGGAAGAGGCGAGGGCAATGAGTTACGCAATAATCCATGTTAGTGTGCAGAGAACACACTGTGCCGGAACTGCAGTATCGCCTGCCTCTGTCCCAGGGCCTGTTTCTGAAATATTTGCAAAATACCTCCCACAGAGACAAAATGAATATGAAACGAGTCAATTAAAGTCATTTAAATGTAGGTAGTGTTTAGGAAAAGGTGGACGCTTTGATCAGAAGAATCGGCCTGTGTGCATGAGTTATCATTTTGGTTACATCCCTTTTTATGTGCCACTGACATAAACTCAAAAACAACACTGGCTTTTTTTCTTCTTAATGAGTATTTTAGTTTTCCTGTAAGAAAAAAACATTTAAAATATCATAATTTTACTTGAGAAGCAAAATTTTATATGATAACAGGAATTATTTTCAGACTGAGAACATATTTTTGTCTGCGGCATTACTGACAGTAAAATGGAAATTATTGGGATTCCCCAGATGTCAGACAGGACATCACCTCTCTTTCCAGGACAATAAACCAGTGGTGTTGTGTGGCATAGCCTGCACACTGCCTGAATAATGATAAGGTGGGTTGAAGAAGATGCAGGGTTGAACCACTACAGCTTAATAACAAGGGTGTGAGGCTACAGGAAGTCCACATATCTGAATGAAATAGTGTGGTCCAGAAAATTAGGTAAAATTAGTTGCCATTCATAATAGGGAGATGGATTAGTGAGCAAATGGATAATTAAGAGGAGGATGAAGAATATAAATATACAAGTATCTTCACATGCTGCTTGTGTTTGCAACATAGTAAAGTCTGTACTGAATCCAATGCATATAAGCACCCATCAGTCACTTCCTTAGATATTCTCAGATACACAATCTCAGTCCTGCTTTACTCACCTAATCAAGCTATTCTTCTGCATCTCAAACAACATACCTACGAACTAAACAAAATATTATATAATGAACACTCTGCCATACTGACATCAGACATGGTTGGGAGAGCACAGAATGTCCATGCATATACATAAACACCTCGGAAATCAAAAGAGCAACCGCTGTTTATGAAGAACCCATTAGTAGTCATGGTGGCAAACATACACACATCCATCCATTATACAAACACACATTATTTCCGGACAACATGGCTCATTGTAGTCTCCCCACTGGGAAACTACTTTAGTTTCAGTATTCCTTTCTCACATTCAGCTGACATACAACGCAGCATTGGCATCTTAAACATTAAAGTCCAATAACATGCAATATTGGCTGAATGAATGAGAACTGAAAAAGTGTCAAAGTTAGTCAAGAAGACAACAGATTTTATTTGTTCACCAAGACGGATTCACTTGTCTATCGAATACATACAGAAAACAACAGCAGTTACTACAATATGACTATTCCACAATGGATATAGTGTGTATACCAAAACCAACAGCTGAAAAGATTAATTAGATTGTATTGGGGTTACAGTACAGAGACATTACAGTATTAATTGCCTATAAAATTTAAGTTTATGATTACCTTTTGTACAGCCAGAGATGAAAACGGGAAATTGTATTTGCTTGCAATTCTCAGGGGCATTTCTCATGGCCAGTTTTCTTTTGATAGTACACGTGAATCTACGCTTCACTTGTGATGCTTTCACATAGTGCATTTATGAAGCCATTACAGCAGGATGATTACACAAGTCTTGACACTAACAGAACAGAGGAAATGGGTGAGAACGGATAACAGTGTTTGACAGCATGTTAATCTAATTGCTGGTAATACCCTGACTTGTCCCAATGACTGCAGGATATTTAGGATTTTAAAATGCATTGTTGTTGTACTTCTTACTCTGGTCAATGTTTCTCATGGTGGGTTTATTCTTGAAACTGCTAGTCTTAGCTAAAAAAATATATATAAAAATAAGCAAATCAATCAATCAATCAATAAATTAAACTTTCCACATTTAAAACATGCACCTGTTGTGACAAAATGCTTCAATAGTTGGGCATAATTCCAACCAGTTTACATTCTTTTATTGTTGACATTTACCTTGTATTCCAGTGTGTTTTTAATATTTCTTTGTGTACTCAAGACCTTTTACAAAATGGATATATGATTGATATATGACTGTTGCTGCTTAGTATTCAGCAGCTTTTCATTACGCCATGTCTGCACACTAGTATCACCCAAACTTATTTTGCTATAAGTTTGATTGCATCATATAATAATTGCTGTTAATAGTGTTCATTGTCTGTTTGATTACATCTTTAATTGATTTTTCTGTACATTTCTGCCATATGTACATTAACTGACAGTCACCACTGATAAGCTACTACTAAATATTGTAGAAACTTAATTTGCTGTAAAGTTGCATTGCAACGATTTGTATCGTGAAAAGTGCTATACAAATAAAACTTGTAGAACGGTACAATGGTTATCTAACCTTTATCAACACGCTCCACAACAGCAAATCAGGGAAGCATGCAAGGAACATCACTGCTGACTATGTATTTCAGAAACACTCCCCTGAAAAATGCTTCAGATCCATAAATATCAGTTCTGTTTGACAGCACAAGGGCTTCTTGAGCAGTCAGCCTGCTAAACCTGCTCTTGAAATTGTAACCAGCCCCAGCTCCATTCAAAAAAGCATTAGTTTCCCAAAATCTCAGCACACATAGACACTACATTAAGATTATTTGATTAAGTTGATTAAGTCAAATACATTACATATGATGGCATTGGTTTTGTACTATATAGAATAGTTAATTATGATTTTATTTATCTTTTCATTATGTACCCTGCTGAAGATTTGCTTCAAGCACAAGACTACTCAGCTGTGACCTATTTGCCTCTGATATGAAAGCTTTCTGTTACAGAGGAGAAAAGATTAAGAGCATTATGTTAATTGAAGAGGTCAATATTTTCCTTATTTTCTTTTTTTTTTTGTCTTTATTTTTC